GGGACAAAAGAAAAAAGAAAAAAAAAACCAAGACGTTCAAAGTGACGAAAATCGCGCTAGACGAAAAGACGGCGGATAAAAAAAAAAATTAATAATAATAATAATAAAAAACATCGTTACGGCGCGGGTATTATCGTCGCGTACGGCGATCCGGCGCGCCGGCCCTGCGCACAGTGGCCGTGCAAGGGAGTTTTCGACTGCGGGGCGCGCGTAACGTGAACGGGAGAATCGCAAATTCGTCTTTTACGTACGCCCCGCGCGACTCGTCGACTGTAATAATGCGGGAATCGGTATAATTGAAAAAGCCGGTGAAAAAAAAATTTAAAAAACCCGATTTCTAATCAATGCGTCAATATACGTTTCCTCGCGTAATCCGGCCCGAAATAATGTATACGCTTTTTTTAGTATTAGATTACTGGAATTTTTTTTTTTTTTTGTATTTTTAAGCCGACGGGACTGATACAACCCCTACCGTCCTGCGCGGTCCCGGTGATAATCGGATAAAACTCCCGTGAAACACGCTATGAGAGTGCGCGTAGTATAACCCCGAACCGATTTTCGAAACTTGGTTTTTTTATTCACAATTTGAAAATAACCGAACGAATCGTAGAGAACGACGCCGTTCCCGTTATACGCGCGCGTGCGTATAACCGCAGGTAGCCGCGGTGTTTTTACGCGCGAGAAACGCGGACAATGAGTCGGAGGATTTGAACGACACGTTTTGTGCGACGCGGCGGACAAACGCGACAAATCAATGGGTACCTAATATTATTATTGTCGCTTTCGTCGGGACCCGAAAACGGCCGGACGACCGAATGAATTGGATAAAAAAAAAAAAAAAAAACGGCAACTACCGTCGCGCGACACGGGGTTTCGATCAGTGGCGTCGAGTCTGCGGCGGTCTCGATTCCTGGCGACGGCGCAGTGAAACATTTAGGACCTCCGATTTTCTCGGCGCATCCCCGTCTTACGGTATCATCATAACCTCCTGCCGTTTATAGACACGGGCCGTACCGGTTTTAAAAAGACGTTTATTGTCCTTTTTATTCGGCAAACAATACTTTTCTACCGGACCGGTGTGCCGCCGAGTGCAGGGAATTTCGTCCGGTCGGGACCTCGGGAGCGCGGCCGTTTTTCGACTGCTACCGGCGGTTTTCTTAATAACGGGATGGGGAGGGGCGGAGGGAGGGGAGCCGGGGAAATTCGCGTACGCGTACAAATGAGACTTTGCTCCGAATTCGTTTTGAATCAAGATCCCGTCTGACACGGCGGCCCGCCCGTCTTTTTTTTTTTTTTTTTTCATTCAAATCAAAAATTAACGTTGCTCCGTACGAACAGTAAACACTCAATCGGTCATTATTGAATCAATGTAAATATAAATTAATACGCGAGGCGAGCGTACAAAGCGGCGGATATCCAATTGACTTGACGTTTCACGCGGCACTTCTTTGTACACAATGTTCCACACTGTTATACACGCGATGGCCGTCCCCCGTCGTAAATTCATATCGTAACGAAAACTACGGTTATTATTTATTTTTTTTCCCCCTCTTTGCTGTCGTCGCCGTCGTTTTCGAGTTTAGCTCCTTTTACGTACGGAGACCGCGTATAAACGAGTCCGGAATACGGAATTCGCAAATGTGCAAAGTATATTCCGTCGCGAAAAGAAGAGTTTGCACGGGCCGATCCACGCCACTGGTCGAGGGCACGTTTAAAATATGAACAATACAATAATAGTATACGGTTTGTGCCTAAAGACGCGTTCGGAAATAACACCTCAGCTCGACAAATCGACCCGTTAACAACACGCGATAATGATAAAAAAAAAAATACATCGTATCGTCGTCCTCGAGAGCTGTACGCGAAGACCGCTGAAGGTTCGTCGATATTCTCGAACGCGTCGTATCGTATCGTATTAAGCCTACTCGAATTACGTCTTTATTGTGCGGGGGAACGTAGACTTTTTTTTTTTATTATTGATTAATTTATCGCATTCAGTAAGCCGTCCGCAGAGATTTCTCGCGGCGAAACGATAAGCGGCTTTTCGGTTTTACGGGCGCTAAACAACGAAAACATTATTGAAATATTATAACCAGTTTTCTGCTAAAAATAAAAAAAAAAAAAACGAAAATACGCGAAAACATTGCGATTTCGGGTTCGTTTCGTCGCCGAGTCGTGAGCTGCTCGTCTTACTGTAGAAAAACTAATGAAAAGTCGGCCGAAACTATGCGCGCAGGTCGAGAACCTGCGGGTCTTTAACAAACGATCCCTGGCTCTTTGGAAAATGTACGTCAACATTTAAGACGTATTATTATATGTTTAATGCGTACCAGTTCTCAATGAAATTATTCGGTAAAACATTATATTAGTCGTTTTTTGTGCTACGGCGTGTTTTTTATTTTATCTTGATCATTGCGGCTCTTTGCAAATCGCGGTTTTGGCGATTTTTTTTTTTTTTTTTAACGACTCATTTATACGATAAAAGGTGTCCGGACCTCCTGGCGAGCGGTTTCGCGTCTTTTCTCCGGTTCCGGGTATCGAAAACTGGATAATCGTTTTGTTTTATCCACGCGGTTAAATATATTGGTGCGATCACAACTCCGACACATTGTGTTTATTCCATAGCTTTTCATGGAGAGAAAACTCAGGCGGCAGTGATATTTACTACCGGCTATAGATTGAAATAAGGCTTAAACGCAATTGCAAGTAACGAAAAAAAAAAAAACGTATACTAAACATATACATTATACATTTCATTTTAGGTGTACCTAATACAAAAAGTAAACGATTCAGTGTTAAATCAAATTGGAAATAAAATTAACGTCCCTGCGGAGGTGATCCGGGCTGTACGGTACAAGAACGCGCGCGCAAGATGGTTCAAATAAATCCGCGGCAGACGAAATGTTCGAAGTATCGCGCGTTAAAAAAGCCGCTTCCTTAATTTAGTACACGAGAAATGAAAACTACGCCCGGTCGCCGACAACAATGATTAGGTATGTGAAATGGGCGTTTTTAAAAAAAATTCGATTAAGTCATCCGGAATTACCGTACTTTTCCAAGGGCCGTTAAAAACCACTGGCCCGACGGCGACCGTCGCACGCGCGCGTACCGCAAAGTTGTGACCGTAGCGTACCGACAATGCATACCCAATGTTTAGAGGCGCCCCCGTACTCACCGACGCGGACGTAACGATTTTTAGAACGGAGTTTATCGTTGCCAATCGCGGTCGGTCGTCGGCCGTAAACTCGCGTTAAAGATAAACGCCATTTTTTTTTTTTTTTTTTCTCCGTACGTCGTCGTTCGAGAACGGCCGCAGGTTTTATCGGTCCGCGAACAAGACGAGACCGGTTCGGGACCGCGGGCGCCGGATTAATAATGTCGAGACCGCGGCTAATAATAACGCGACGGCGTATTTTTAGCGTCCGACAATATTCCCGGATTATTAACATTATCGAAACGTAATCGGCCCGCGCAGCCGACGACGGCGTCGTAACGTTCGTCGCAATCGCGGGCGTCGGCGGCCCGGACCCGTTTTCTCGGTACACCGAAACCGGCGGACGACGACGCACGCGCGCCCGCCTTAAATCCGCGTGTTATCAAACGCGACAAATCGTTTCCAAAAAAAAATAACGAGACCGATTGCACGGCCGGCAGATTAACGGGGCCGCCGCCGTGTTATTTAGAAATAATCCGCTGTGGTGGTCATACACATGCGTACGGTGTGATAACGAAATAAGTGTGCACTACAGGGGCGATAATGATACTATGTGCCGACCGCAAGACGGCGAATTTCCTGATACACGGGTGTAAAACGATTTGGCGTACCGCTATAATCAAACGAATTTCTCGTATATCATAAACGTCTTCAGAACGAACGTCTCCGATTCCGAATTATCCGACTTTGGACGACGCGTGTTAGAAATTTGAGAGAAAAAAAAAAAATCGCTTTTCGGTGCACGATCAACAGAAACCCGTTTCGACCGCGGTACTACTGTGAAAGCTCAATGTATCCGGACATGTACCCCGTTTGAATCGTCCGTGTCTGCTGTACGTACAATATTATAATCCGTACTGAACGAATCGGATAAATGAAAAATTGACGATCGTGATAACGCACATCATATTATGCGCGGTAGGTATGTTTTCACTAGTGGTTTCCCATCGGTTGCTGACGACCTACCTGGTTGTAAAATCAAAACAGCACGGGCGATTTTGGAAACATTGTTGAAAAAACACAATGTCCTACCACCCTCCCTTCGATCCCTTCGCATGGCTCACGCAAAGCCTCGTCTCCTTGTCCTTGAAATCGACCGTCGCGATATCCGCGGGAAACGAGGATCTGGTCGTTTTCGCCCCGCGCCCACTCCGGCCGGCGTATCACGTCTCGCTGCGCTATGTACCCGTCGGCGGCGGGATGTACGCCTTACTGGGTAACATGGTGACTTTTATTGTCGCCTCGGCTTTACCGCATCTACGTGTGTATTCGATGTGTACGTTTCAAACTTACCGCGAATCGCGCCCGTTGTTGTTATTCGAGAATTAAAACGAACAACAATAATGGGGAAAAAAAAAAAAGAAGAAAAAAAAAACACCCACGACGAAATTATCAAGGAAATGAATTCGTCCCGAACACGGCGGATCCGCCGGCGTTTTAATCGGCCGCACTCGCCGACGTCATCATCGCAGCGTTTTCGGTAATTACATTATCGCGAAACGGGTACGTGTTTCGGTGTCGGCCCCGGGGCGATGCGTTTTTCGGACGGCACGAGAATAAAAAAATAAATAATAACAAAAACGTTCGGCAAAGGTAAAAAGAAATAGAGAAAAAAAAAAAAACCACTGCTCGGAAAGTGACCGCCGTGTTGAATTGCGGACGTATCGCAGTAATGCGTCGTGTCCGAACGGGTCCCGGAATTATCGAATTCCGCGCGTTCCCGTAAAGCAATGATAATAATAATTAAGGAAACGTATACGGAAACGTCCTCAGTCTTCGTGTATAGGTACGCGTTTTTTTTTTTTGTTTTTTTATGAAAGGGACAAAACAAAAATCAGAAGTCACTTTCCGTTTTCCGAAATGGCGGTATACCCGGTATCGAACGATAACGATAATCGTTCGTATTGACGTATCGTTTCCGCTATCGTCGAAAAACAAAAAAAAAACAAAAACAAGTAAGCCAATTGATAGCGGGAAAGAACAGGACAAGTGTTGATGAATTACTAATGCAGGGTCGACGGAAAAGCGTAAAAGGTAAACTATAAAATGACTTAATTTTTTTTGTTTTATACCGCGTAAAAGTTTTTTTTTTTTTTTTTACGGCCGCACTACGGACAATAATTATCAAGTACGATGATTACCAATTGATATTGATTACACGCGATAAACTGCGGACATTCGTTGTATAACCGTGTACGCCATACCGTTGATTACGTATCGTCTACAGTCCGATAATTGGAGAAGGGTTTTTTTTTTTTTTTTTTTTGTCTGTTTTCAGATCGGTCACGTATCGTGCACACATTACAACGGCAGATTGTATCCGGATCATTCGAAAAACCTGTTAGGCGTATTCGCTCGAAATCGGAGAAAAACCAATAGAACGAGTATTTAATTACCTCCGACTATATATTATGACTAAAGAAGAAGACTTGGTAAGTAAGAAGTCGGTACTAAACGCGTACCGGAGAAGAAGTTGCGAATCGGTCGTAAGTTATTTTAGTGACAATTTGTTATATTACGTTAATTACTAAGTTCGTCTTTGTTCTTTACTGACGACCGCGTTAATAATGTTTGTAACGACCGATCAAAAAAAAAAAATTCGTTTCGCCGAGTTTTGGCGATAATTTCCTACGCGGATTCGTGAGTTTATATACCGATCGAGATTTAAAATTTACATCGTTATTCGAGCTACTACGATAAATTTCGACGAAAAAAAAAAACGTACACTTAATGTTCCTCATATTGCTTAGTCGTAGTAAAGTTTTATACGCGTATATTCACCAATCCCGAATCGTAATGCCACTACGTTATTGTGTAGCGGCGGTCGCCGACACGAACGTTTCGCTCTGTGAAAACGGAAAACTGTTACGTTTCTACAGTGAAAAACTCGCGGTTTTTCTCGGATCGTCAAAATGCAAAAAAGAAATAGAAATTTTCCGGTTTTCGTCCCGTGGCGAAAGTTTCGAAAATGACTGCAGGGCCGTTAACGGGAAATCGGCCATGTACCGCAGAGTCCGCGCGCGCGCGGTCAACGGCCGTTTCGCCGGTTTTTCGGGAAATTCGTTAACCGTTTCGAAAGCACCGAACGTATCCGGACGGCGTACACTTTTCCCTAAAGGTCCGCGGACGGGATCCGACCCCGAAAGGCTCACGCGGCACTCCGGCGGTCTCCCCCGTCCTTTCTTCCGGTATCCCGCCGTCCCCAGGGCTATCGCGCGGTTTCCGTTCCGCGGGCGGCGGCCGAAAGGCCGGCCGCGCGATAACCGCGAGCCGGCCCGGACGGCCCGGAGAAATCGCGGTCGACCGAAAAACCGCAGCAGAATATACGGCCGGCCCTACACGGACGCCTGCCGCGCGACGGTCGTCGTCGGCGGAGACCCATAGCCCACGACCGTCTCTCGTGCCGAGTTCAACGTTTCCGTCGTCACGGATTTTCGTTTTCGTCTATTTGTTTTCAATCGCGTCCCCGCCGTCGTTACTGGAACGGGTTTCCGTCGTCGCGCGAGACGGCCCCGTCAACGGCGGCAGCTACAAACGTACAGGTACGAGTACCGGATTTTCGTGCGGCGCGGGGCGAGCGGTTACGAGAATCCCGGGACTTTGACGGGCTTTGGAACGTCGGGGAAAAAAAAAAAAAAAAAAAAAAAAACGATAAAAAGAAGAAAAACCCGGATATTGAGGGGTTTTACAAATAGCAACGCGGAACGGGGGACGGCGAACCCGTACAAAAGTAGGTAATCTCCTCCTACATTGGCGCAACGTTAACTCCCAGTGTCGACTCCCGCAGCAGATACCGTCAATCCCTACACTGCATGGTTGTAGAATAAGAAAAAATTCGGTCGTAAACTACGAAAACGCCGTTTGCGAGATACAATGGTACGATATTTGTTTTGTCTGGTTATTAAAACAGGTAAAAACCAGTCAACCGGCGGCGAGTCTCCACGAATATTTATCCAAAATAAAAACAGGCGTCTTATCATTTTTCCGTTACGAGAATTATTTCTCGTATAAAACACGGCGTGCGTGTTTATTTAAAAATAACGAAATCGTAAAACCGTACGTTTCCCCCTCCTCACCCCCACTTAAGTGCAACCATCTCAGATGGACATCATTGCGAAACCAATATGCATTCCTCGCTACACTCGGAATCTAAAATGTGTAAAAAAAAGGTCCGCGTAGAAGATCGCACCATCTATTTTCGGCAGGTAAAAAGGTACTGTGTAGGGAGTTTTTACGCTGTGTTTCAAATGCAGGTAAAAACGGCATTTTCGTGGGAGTTTACACGTGGCGACGAAAACGGATAATTTTTCTGTCTCCAAAAACAAAATCGCGCGGGTATGGGGTTTGTTCTTCGAGCACTTGTTTTCGGGGCTACCCCGGCGCAGTTTCCCGTGCGGATATCAAGCGCGTATCCATCACCCGAAAACTGGACGCGGGCATACTTACGGCGTGGCCTTACGCCATTGACGCTTACGGTTAAACTTAAACGATAATAATAATAAAAATAAAAATAAAAATAATAATAAAAATAATAATAATAATAATAATAAAAATAATAAAAATAATAATAATAAAAATAATAATAATAATGATGAAGATGATGAAAAAAACCGACTAACCGGAACTACGGTGTACCCAGTGCAAAAATACCGATGGTACCTGTAACGTTTCACCTGCCTATCGACGCGGCCCTAACGTTGGTATCGGGTAAACTGTCGCGATGTATAAACGTCGCGCCGTATTTCATTTTTTTTTCTCGTCCGCCGACGGCGGGACGCGGAAGAAAAAAAAAAAAATACTTAAAAAATACATATATACTGGGGTACACACGCGAGTTCGGTGTGGTTTTTCCGGGCGGGATCGGGCGGGACGGTATGCGCGGCCGGCAATCGGGCGGGCGCCCGACACCGCGGTCACGCATCCCGTCAGGGTGCCGGGGAGCGCGCGTACGACACGCGCGACAATACGTTCCGTCGTGGGAGAGTAGTTCTATTAAATGGGTTTAGTGGCGGTAGGCAAACTCACATTGAATTCGACGTGTTCCAGTGCACGGTGAATGACTTGGTGCAATCGCTGACCGTGGACAGCAACACCGTCTCGAAGCATATGAGCAGGACCAGCGTGAGGCACGACGTGATCTTGGCGAACGACACGCCGCGCATGGTCGCGGACGCGGCCCGGCGTCCGGCGGTCGCGGAACGCGGCGCGAAGAACCGCAAGTAGCTCGGGACGCCGAACAGGTTGTCGAACAGCACCATGACGGCGGCGGACTGTACGACCGACGCGATATTATTCGGGAAAAATTCACGAAAAACCGTCGGGTTTTCCTTTTGTTCGGTTCGTCTCGTGTCCGGCGCGCGAAAACGACAGGGGAATGAACGCACTGGTACGATTACGATTATTCGATTGCGCCGCAGTAGTAGCCGTACGCCGCGTGAGTTTCGGGGTTCCGTGCGAATCGGTTGTCGGTTGATCCGTGCGATTTTCAGCCGATAACGACAATAATAATAATAACAATAATAATATTACGATCGCGTTATTATAGTGCGGACGGACCGGTCATCCAGCTGGCGGCGGTGGCCGCGACATGGTCAAGCGTGAGAACGGCGGACATCGACCACCAGACGAAGAGTAACAGCCGGAGCGCACGCGTATTATGGTTCGGTTAGGAAAAATCAAACCGAATATTGTAATTTTGATTTTCCCCGGACCGGCGGATCGAAAAGACGAAACGAAAATGATAATTTAAAAAAAAAAAAAAAAAATTTAAAAACCGACGAGTACGGAACGCGCGATACACGATTACTGGTATGACGCGGTTGTACGGCGGCAGACACGAACGGACGCGCGACAAACGAAAGGGGCAAACACGGACGCACACTGCTCGGCCGACGACGCGATACTAACGACGGAAATGTTCTCGCGACGAACGCTTCACGCGTGACGGTCCGGCAACGCCGCGTGCCCAACACGGCGGCGGCGGCGGCGGGCCCCCCCCCCACTCCTTCTCACCGCCCCGTCAACCGCGGAACGGCACCCCACGATACGGCGATACTCGACGGCGCGGCGACCCGGGCGCCGTCTGACGGTCCGCGACCGCCGCGCCATCTGCACGACTCCGGCACCGCGCCGCGGCCGTCGCTAGCCGCCGTTGACGTCGCCGCCGCCGCGGCCGAATCGAAACAAAACCGAATAAAACACCGGCTCGGGACCGTCGCGACCGCCTACAAGAGCACTGTAGGAATTAGGATTTAGGGTTTCCGACTTTGGAATTATTGTATGAAGTACGAAAATATTGTTTTGTAATGTAATGAACTTCATAATGTTATAAAATTACTCCAAATTGTTAACATCGTACATTAAGATATTTAATTTTTTCGCCCTGTGGTACCTTGTTTGAAAGATTTTACTACATTTCCAACAGGTTTTCTAAACAATTGAAAATAATTGAAAACAAATGACGATGCATTAGTTTTATTTTATTGATATTTAGGTTATCTTGACTACACGAGAAAAAACAACACATTCCCCGTGTTTATTTATTACTAACGACTGTTGGTCATTTGAATACAATTTAAACATAAATAAAATTACTCGTTAATTGGTTAAGTAATTTATATTTATTACCTACTTCCGATAAATTACTTACTTTACTTTATACTTTATTAAAATAATATTTCCTATTAAATCAGTAATTCACTAATTTGTCATGAATAATTTATATTATGTATGCTGAATGTAATATTATTTTTTAATCTGGAGAATGTAAGATTGGTGTTTATTTTTATAAACTTTTTTTTGTATACAAACAATATACGGATGTGACCACTCTAGGTCTAAATCCGCGTGACTGTTTTAACCCCTATATATTCGTTTTTAATGATTTATGGGCGCATACGGTGTAATATTAATTTAATTACACTGCGCATCCTATACCCATATAGTCGTATTCCCCTTTCTAAACTACCCACCCCCAACAGTGGCCTACCCGTGAGCAAAGTCATTTTTTTTAAATGTAAAAGAAAAACCCGGTTGCGCAACTGACGGTAATATTAGCCATAAGTGAAATAAATTGACGCTCGTTGAATATCTGTTCGTAGACTTGTAGGTAAATTATTATATTTTTGTATTAAAATTACATTAATATGTGTACTTTTCGAGAATTAACATCGACATTTTCGTTTGTCAGAAATGTATCGTTTGTGCGTCTAAAACGAGAATAGTATTGGTCCACACGTTCCAAAGCATATAATATTAGTAACCACGAGGGGAGGGGGGAACTGACCGGATCATAAAAGCTATCGCCACTGTATAATCTAGCAACGTTATTTTTCGTCATCGATGTCGTTGACTTAATTATTTTGTCGACCAGTATTACAGTACTGTACTGCTGTTATAAAAAAAAAATAATTATAACGATTATAATTTTTTTTTTTTTTTTCAATGTTTGATTTGTACATAATTATTGCACAGAAATTCAGTTACCCGTAAGCGATTGAGTATTGTACAGTAATCTACAATTTATATTTATTTTTTTATTTTTTATTACTGTACACACACGAACCTATGCAAATATAATATTATGATACATCAAAAGATTGTAACGATGATAATCGACGAAATAGTTTGTACGTAATATTTTTTTTTAAAAAAAAAAAAAAAAAACCTCGAAATCAAAATATATTTGCAACGTTTATGATGAATAGGTTAAGTGTAATAGGTGCAATATAGATTGCGGAAATAGTTTTTGACGAAATCTTTTGTAATGAATACAACGTATGTATCGTCTTTTGAACAAAATAATCGTGTACTTATTTAATGGTGTACGGGTACTGTCATTATCGAGATTTTTTGTGCCCGAACAGTTACGTGAATGTCGATAATCATATGGTGGGTCAACACAATACCTATAATAGACATTATGACGTATATTGCCAAAAAAACTATGCAATACGCATAATTATTACTTTTTCTAGACATTGTATAACAGTGTTTGTCTGCAACTTTTTTTATTCCACGTCCCTCCTCCCTTTGTAGGTTTTCCAGAATCTCATGCCTCTCCCAAATGATTAAAAATACGAATTAATCGGTTTTAAATTTAGGCGTGGTAAATTTGCACTTTCATATTTTATTCTTTCAATTTCATCATCGCTATAGTATTACCCCTAACACAATAACTAAATTCCTTCCTGTTGAAAAACACCGTCGTATAATTTTATACGGACAATGTTGACAGTTAAACAATACGACATTTTCGTTTTGTACGACTTAATAATTGATAAACGAAATTGTTTTAAATACTTTGGCGGATAATCATACCCGAATGAGGAGGGCAGCTGCTTACCTTACAGGATGAGAACAACACGTTTATGTTTTTCTGTGTAGGTATACAATTGTTTTTTTTTTTTTTTATTTTTAGGCGAGATATGCGATATTTAAATATTTCGTATACATAGCTTAAGAATTAAAATATTGAAAACGACCAACGAACCAACGCGGCAAATATTTTTACATTTAAATTTGATTGTAGGCCAATTCAAGAATACTTGAATCGACAGCACAAAATTGGTTCTACAAAACGAACATTATTTGACATTTTTCAATTTTCAACACTAAAATATAGTAGCTGGCTTTTCATACAAATCGCTAAGATTTTAATGATGATTTAGATTATCGCCGGAGGAAAGAAAAAGCTATTATAATAATTATTATACTGCGTTGATATGTCTTTTTTTTATTTATGCATACTTTTTTCGATTAGTAAAAATGTTATAAGATTTGTAAATAGTTTATAAATCAAATATCGTAACTATAGTTGAGAAATCGTGCGAGTTGAATTATGCTTATTGTATAGTATTACTTTTTTTATAATATTACCTACCACATATATATATATATATATAGTAAAACAAAATTCATGTTTCGGCCAAGTAGAACTGATAACTCGTGATGTGTCGATGACATATATGAAACGAATTCGTCGAATTTTTACCGAAAATTGCTGTTATCTTCGATTTCGGTTTATTTATTTTTTTATATGATTTGTAAATAGTTTGGCGAACCGAATATCGTATTTAGTGGAAGAAACGCGTGGATTGAATTAAATTTATTGCACGTGGCGGACCGACAGCACAGCCAATTTCAAGGCAGTGTCGGACGACCACGTTAACGAGAATAATATTATTTTTAACGACACGGACCGCAACACGGGCGCTGCGTGACACGGATTAATACAGCTTCTAAAAAACCGGAGTTTATCATTAGGGCGTGCGAAATAATATGACGACACGGTAATTAATAAAGTAACATGTAAGAGCTGTGAAAAATCGGTAAAAATAATATATTGTGTGCCTACTTTAGATTATTTCGCTCTTCAACTATTATATACATACCTACCTAAAATATTCCACTGTCGTTGAAACAAGTAAAATTATAGTCACAATAGTAGCGAACCGATGCGATTTTTTTTTTTTTCATTTTAAGACGAATTTTCCATTTTCCATTTTATTTGCGTTGCGTTGGGATTTTATACAGAGCCTGCACAGGCGTAATGAAAATTATAACAAATTGTGTATTTTATTATGTTTTATTCGCATCGCCTAAAACCACTCGGAAATGTTCACGATACGCATAATCAATGCCGCGGATTTTTATCGCACCGTAAAAACCTATTAAATATATGCATCCAATAAGGCACTTAAAACGGACGAAATATGGTCTTCGAATTTTTAACAAATGTAAAACGTGTTCTATTTTTTTTTTTTTTTTTTTTTTTTTTAAGTAAAAAACTGCAAAAACTGCATAAACCACTGCCATATGTTTCAATGGTATTTATCCACTGTCGTAAATATCGTAAGCGCGAATTATTCGTAATAGAATATATTACTCATCGACTTATGCGGTGTTCAGTAAAAGTAGATAACTCCAATTATTATTATTATTGTATAGTTAACATAATATTTAATAGCCGACTATAAATGATTAATTGTCTTCGCGATGAAATATACCAAACTACGAAAAATTATAGCGGCGTTCCCGTCGAACTATTAACAGTTGTGTGTGTACAATAATATTTGACGCCGATTTTGGACCGGATTGCCCGAAATATTAAGAAAAAAATCGTGAACACCACGAAACCCGCGCCTATAACGCGTTCAAAATGCAAATGCACCACGCCAAATGAGATTGCGCATTTGATTTTTCAAACAATACGAAACAAACGTCTATGTTCACTATTATATACGGTCTATAGAAACGG